GTTTACAATAAAGCCTAAGTTCTTAATTTTCTCAGTGGTCATGAGGGCGGCTGTACCAATCCACAGAGGTGGGATGTTGGTAGGGTCTATTACAGTTTTACATATAGGCATGACATACGACTTAGCAGCATTTAAACATAAAAGATTCCTCTGCGCCCAACACAAGATACCGGACAGATCACTATTAACCTTAAAACATATATCCTCGACGAGACCTATACGATTCGAAAGGTACAGCTGAATATCATCAGCATACGCATGAACATTTACATATTTGCACACCGAAAACACATCATTTACAAAAATACTAAACAATAGAGGACCAAGGATTGATCCCTGAGGGACACCTGCTTTGATAGCTTTAAACTGAGAAAAAACATTCTCACATTTAACTCGTTGAACTCTGCCCTTAAGATAGCTAGACAAAAGTTTTATCGCACCATTAGAAAACCCAAAGTAGTGCCTGAGTTTCCGACATAACAAAGAGTGGCTGACTGAGTCAAATGCCTTAGAAAAGTCTAAGAGGCATAGAATAGTTAGATCTCCATTATCGTACGGCATTCTAATGTCATCCAAAATTTTAACCATAGCTGTGGCACAGCTATGCTTGGGTCTAAACCCAGACTGCAAAGGCGAAAGCAAATTATTTTTTTGAATGTACATGGAGATTTGGTCAGCCATCAAAAACTCACACGCTTTAGAAAATGCTGGTAAGATACTTATAGGCCTGTATTCACAAGGGTTCGACGCAAGTGGTTTTTTAGGAATAGGCAAAATAATTGCTTTTTTCCAAGCATCCGGAAAACGGCCACTAGAGAAGCAATGATTTATTATATGGGTAAGAGTACTTATAATAAATGGGAGCACGATTTTAACAAATCTTAAATATATTCCATCATCACCAACAGCATTCGACTTAATAGCCATAATTGCCTTTAGTACATCACATTCACTCACGCAGAGAAACGCAAAAGAATCTAGAGTTATACAAGCATCTAAAGGGGTATCATCAGAGATAGTAGAGTTACTGCAGTTTTCCGAACCAATAAAAAAGTCATTTAATAGATCAGGGTGAATTTTGCACTGCACTTTATTTTTCCCATGTATGTTTAAATGCTTCAAGTTGCTCCACAATTCTTTAGATGGGAGAGAAGGATTCAGTTTTTGTTTACAATACCACCTTTTAGCTTGTTTAATGATAACGGTGGCTTCATTTCGCGCGGTCTTGTACGCATGCCACGCAGTATCAGTATTCGACCTTCTCCATTTGGCATGCAACTTGTTGCGTTTCTTTATAGCGAAACTTACTTTTTTGTTAAACCAAGGGCAGGATGTATTAATAACGTTTGCAGTACGGACGGGGACATGACGATCAAAAAGGGTAGTTAAATTATTATTAAGGCATTCGAGCTTCTTGTCTACCGTTTCATAATACCAACATTCATTCCAATGAATAGAAGAACAATCAGAGAACAATGCACTATTATCTAACGAACGAAAATCACGATACGAGAAAGCAACACAAATTGCAGAACGTTCAAACACTACATCAACAGTACAGAAAATTAAATCATGGTCAGATATAAAAAATAGTTGGTGGAGGGTAGAATCGGCGGTGGTGTTCTTTTTGCGGTGCATTCATCGATACCATCCGAGGAAGTTAATCTTCCTGCCATTGAATATACCGAATTTAAATGTATACGTGTACAGGCTGGAAAGACTTATATTTATTTAACTCTTTGCTACATCCCTCCTAATTCTGCCGTATCAGTATATATGCAGCTAGTTTCTTTACTTGAGGCCGTAAATGCAATGCTTACGGCATCCGATTCTATGATTGTTTTGGGCGATTTAAATCTGCCACACATTTCATGGAACATCATTGACACCGATGTTGTACCAATTTCATCTAGAGATAGTTACAATGTATTTCTGGAGGAAATGGCTGAACTTTGCCTCAAACAAATAAATATATGTCCAAATAAGTTTGGAAAGGTCTTGGATCTCGTTTACGTTGATGATGTTCCGAAGGCCAAAAAAAACTATAGTTTTAATTAAAATAAATAAAAAAATAACAAAACTATAGTTTTTATTAAAATAATTATAAAAAGGTTATTGGTAGACATTTCCCAGATTTGGTAGATTTTTTTCAAGTGGATGGTAAATATTTTTTTTCGTCAGTGGCAACCCTGGTCAACACCATTTGTAATAAAATTTCGTAGTGGGCGGACGTAAACATGTCTTCATCGGATGACGATTTTTTGCTACTTGCCACTAAAATCTTTATCTTCCGCGAACTTGCTCATTTTACATATCACAACAAACTAACACACTAATGCTTGTCAACGCTTTGCGCCACTATCAAACAGACCGCTTGTCAAGCGGTCGCGTTGATGGAAAATCAAAAATTTTTGATTTTCCATCAACACGAGCCGACAACAAGTACGTGTGACACGACGATCTCCGATTGCCTCGGTTGCTGGGGTAACCAACAACGGATGCTTGAAATCGCCGACGAGCTTTAGGTATGCCGTTGATGATCAAGTCAGTAGCAACGGTCTCATTTTCATACCGAGCCGACTCTCTTTTCAGCGCTAGCACTTCAGCTTTGAGAGAAGCAATCGCCTCACACGTCGATTCCACAGCAGTCAGCCTCACTTCCAAGAACTTTACCGTAGTCTTAATGCTCTGCATCTCCGCTGAAATCTCATTAAATCTCTGCATCAGTCTCTCTTCAGTGCTCTTTATACTCCCACTCAGCTGTTCTATCATGCCCTGCTTTTGTTTTTCCATTTTCGCCTCCAGCTGTTGTAGCCAATGTGCAGTTTGCAAACTCTCACCATCTCGGCATTTACCATGATGGGGGGTGTTACCCTTCGGCGGGGACAACTTTGCACTTCTTGTTACTTTCTTTTCGACCGACATAATGCAAATAGAATTATTTCAATTTCCAATTATTTCAATTTCAGCGCGAAAAACAACGTTTGCTTAAATGCAGAAAATCAGCGGCAGTTTAACACACAGGCCTTAGCTTGACAAGTATTAAAATCAAGTATTAATTAAAGAAAAGTTGACAAAACCGGCAGCACAATGTTTACACGTCTACTCAGTCATACCGCTCACACATTCAAGTAAAAAAGTAAAAATCAATAAATAATTATTATTTGTCATTAAAAAAATAAAAATCGGATAATAATAATTAAATGTTGATCAATATTTTTTAACTTATAATGATTACCATCCCTGATTAAAACAAAAAAAAAATTGCATGCATTGTCAAAAATTCTCTGCGCCAATAATTTTGGGCGACACTGTAAGTTTATTTTGAACTTTATTTGTGATAAAGTATTTTGTTTTGTTGGTTGGATGAAATGATCACATCTTTTTATGTTTTTGTTTTTGTTTTGTCAAAATAAAATTTTATTACATACTTTCGTACGTAAGTAATTTTTGTCTAAAGGAAAGGAGGGGGTTGGTGTTGTTGGTTTAGATTTACCAAAGTGTCCCGCCAAAGTGTCTGCGCCAATAATTTTGGGCGACACTGTAAGTTTATTTTGAACTTTATTTGTGATGAAGTATTTTGTTTTGTTGGTTGGTTGAAATGATCTCATCTTTTTATGTTTTTGTTTTTGTCTTGTCGAAATAAAATTTTATTACATACTTCCGTACGTAAGTAATTTTTGTCTAAAGGAAAGGAGGGGGTTGGTGTTGTTGGTTTAGATTTACCAAAGTGTCCCGGTTTGACAACGGAGATATCTGGCAGCCCTAGGTATGTTCCAATCAGATAAAATACATGGTTTAAAAAACCTCGGGAAACCTTTTTATTAACTAGGATATCACCAATGTGTATTTTTAAAGTATTACAATAATTAAATGTATAGCTTAAACATATTTTCGTACACAAAAAAAGTAAGTGGTATTCTTGTCCGTGGTATAGGATTACACAATACATACATACATATGTATGTATATGGTATACATATTTTTACTACAATCTAATAATATTCCAAGGCTTCTTTATGTTTGATAATTACGTTTTTCTTTCTAGGATCGCATAACCATATTCACAGGTGTAGATGACATTACTCAGTACGGTATAATCGATAAATACAATGGAAGATCACATCTGCCTCATTGGTTGAATGATGACTGCAACAGATTAAATGGAACAGATGGTTCAATATTTCCACCACATATTGATAAAAATCGCATTCTTTTCGTATACGATAAAGATCTATGCAGACTGTTGCCACTCGCATTTGAAAAGGAAGTTCAAGTCAAAGAAACTGTTATGGGTTATAGGTTTACGCCACCAGAAAATGTGTTCTCTGACGTTGAAAGCAATCCGGAAAATATGTGCTTCTGTCCAGCAGGTCAGCCTTCATGTTCTCCCAATGGATTGTTCAATGTTTCACTTTGTCAATACGGTAAACACGACCTACATATATATTTGTGGTTACATACAAATTTAAAGTTTTATATATTTTTTAGATTCACCCATTATGCTAAGTTTTCCTCATTTTTATTTGGGAGATGAAAGCTTTCTGAATGCAGTGGAAGGGATTACTCCAGCCGATAAGGAGAAACATAAATTTTTCATTGACGTTCATCCCGTAAGTTTATTAAAACACTATGGCCCGTAGTCATAGAGAAGTTCGAAAAAGGATTTTACGATTAAAATTGTGTTTTATAGTAATCACCATTTTAACTCTTTCATAGTCAACGTAAAATGCATTTATGGTAAAAACAGAATTTTAACTTAAAAATAAGGAGAACGTGATTTTAAAATGGTAAAATACGATTCTAAATTTGTTTTACTTTAGTAATCGCAGTAGCACCCAGGTTCGGTCCCCATTCCGAGCGATTCCAAACAATGTTTTTTCATACAATTTTTTTTTTATACAAACATTTTTTTATCTTAGTGCGATTCATAAAACGTCGCAAAGTGGCATTTTTGGCGAATTGGCAACGTTGCAAACAAAGTTGTATGAACGACCTATCGCTACTCCGGATTACAAAAGTAAAATTTTCTAAAAATGGCGAGCGTAAGTGAAAAATAAAAGTTTTTACAATTATATTTCGAAGCAGCCTTAACTAATATACTTTTTCTTGAAGTATTTGAGGGCAATAAAATATAATGTGTTTTGCGACTTTGTGTTTGCAATGATTGCCAGCTCAAATATTATGGCGATGTCGCAATTTTGTCGCAGAAGAGTTTCCACACAAAAGTAATCAGCTGTATTATAAGGTGGCGAATTTTACAACATTTGCACGTTTCATGAATCCCACTTTTATTTCGTTATCTTTTTTTGTTTATGATATTTCACATAATTATTTCCAGCTAATCAAAGTTTTTGGAGTTAAATTTTAATTAAAATGGTCCCAACAACTATAATTACATAAAAAAATTAAAATTATATTTAAAACAACAAAAAAAGACGTAAAAAAGTGTTTCCTGGCAGTGGGATTCGAGCCCACGGCTTCCCGGCATGCGAAATTCGCAATCCTGCAGCGGACACAGGGTGAACTAATTAAAGTACTCATATTTCATTATATTGCCGAGAAAATTTTTCTGTCTTCATATGGATAGCTCTGTTCTCTCTCATCTTAACAAAACGCTTTTTCTAAGATGTCTATGATTGACACAACTTAAAGATCTATTCTAAACTGAAACTTTATATTGGCAAGAATGAGTTTTAACTTACGACTATAACTATGGGCCCATATGTTTAAGGAATTAACAAAAAAAAAACACTATTGTTGTATTCGTGATTATACTGTCGAAAACATATTGTTACAAACGAAATGACCCAAACAATAGCAATAATACTAAGCTTGTCTTAAAGAGGAAAAGTTTTATTTTACAAAACTGTGATTGCAATAACTATGAAGCCTGCAAATTTAGGGTGTCGTAAGTGTCGTATTTTTTTATGTCGTAAACTAAAAAATATATTAAGTGTTAAAAAATAGTTGCTCTTGGTTCCAAGTTCTCTAAACATTTATTTAAGCTTTTAAAGTTTACGACATACAACAATATGACACTTACGACACAATGGTCTCAAGTAGCACGCTGGTGTATAACTTGGTGTAAATTTGTGAATTTTGGTACAATTAATCAGATTTATACCAAAATTCGTAAATTTACACCAAGTTATACACCAGTGTGCTGCTTGAGGTGAATCCATCAATTATATTAAAAGTAATAATAATAGATTGGCGCTTAAATATATTAGTGTTTGGCTGAGCTTCTCCTCCGATTTGTGGCGTGCGCCTTGATGTTGTCACACAAAGGGGAGGGACCTACAATTTTACGCCGACTCCGAACGGCCATGGTATTTTCATGAGAAGCTGTTTATGATGGCAGAAATACACTCGGAGGCTTGCCATTGCCTGCCCTTTTTTTTAAATTTTTTTGCGATGTTGCTTTGTCGAGGGATTGAACCCAAGTCCTGCGGAGTTGAAGCGCCCACTTCTTACCACTACACAACAGCAGCCGCTGTGCAGCATTAGAAGTAATACCGTCTATGTTTTCTTGTATTTAAATCCGAAGTAGTAATTTGAAGATGCAGAACGCAGACTACTTAACAACCTTTGATTCCAAAAAACGACAAGCTTGACAATTCCAAGCTTGAGTTTCAGTGAGTTAGCAGCTCCTGTCATAAATAAGTGTCTACATCAGAGGTTCCCAAACTTTTTTTCTCGAAGACCCCTTTGAAAAATTTACTGGTTTCGGTGGCCCCCTGCTGATACATTTCTAAATATTCCCAAAGCTCGTATCAACATGAGGTGTGAAGATTAAATCTAACTCTATGTAAGTTTTCATCGCGGGTGAATTCAAAAACTAAACTCGGAGTGGCCCAAATAAAACTAAAATATTTTCTTTCTATTATTTTTTATTTCTATTTATTAAAATAATGTGATTACACACTTGCAGGTTTTAAAAAATAGAGGTCGTAAATCTATCGAAATACTTTCTCGCTCTGAGAAGTTATATTTTTCAAGAGCACTTCGAGCCCTAGCGTTATTTACATTATGTTCACCATAAACTCATCAATTGTTCGGCTCATTCATGACTTTGTACGTGGAGTATTTGTAAACTAGTTTATTTGTGTTGACAGCATCATTTTTATTTTTATTGCTCCGTGGTTTAAAAACACAAAACTTAAAACAACAAAACTGTTTAAGAGAAAATAACGAGTCTAGAAAATTCGATGCAAACAACCAAGCAAGCAAGAAACACAAAAAGTGTCCCACCGTCTCATCCTCTTCTAGGCAGGATGGGCCAATGGATTTGTCATTTACGCCTATCACAGTCAGGTGTTTGTGCCACGTGAACAAGTCAGCAGTCCAACAAGTTGCATGCAGTGTCGTCTGCTCAGTGAGAGCAAAACACTAGACAGACATTCTGAGATTGAAGGCAACATGAGTTTTGCCTGCATCCGCTCGATGCCTCCCAGTCATTGCTATTCACCCAGTTTCTGATAGTTGCTTCGATGGCCTAAAGTGGGTGTGCTGAAACTGGTTGCAGATCGGGGAATGCCTGGTCTCTGCCAATTCTGTCCAAATGGTCAGATGTCTCTTTACCAGGTACTCCTGAGTGACCTGGCAGCCACAGTAAACCAAGCTCGTTATGTTTACCACCACAATTTAGTCGAGACTTGCATTGCCGAACTAGTTTCGAGGGCTGGCCAATGCCTTAAGTGCAGCTTAGCTATCACTGAAGACACGTAAACTCCTTCCCCTCCACCTATGTTCCACCACGTAGTCCATGGATTTGAGGATTGCAATTACCTCAGCCTGGAAGACCGAAGCACATTCCCCAACAGAGAAGTGAAGCTTATCCTCATTAACTTCGACCCCAGATCATGACCCAGAGTCAGTTTTGGAGTCATCAGTGAAGATTCGAAAATGTGTGAGTCAGTGATGGAATTAAACCGGCACTCAGTCTCAGGAAACTCAGCATTATAGAATCTCTTTAACAAAGGTAATGGTGGCGTACTATCCCGTAGCATTGAAAATACACAAGTGCTTAAATCTCTGCCGCTAGCAATTTCCGTCGCGCCCCACTCAGTGTTACGCCAACATCTCGTTCTTTTTAGCCTGCACCTGGCCTTAAAGGCTTTCCCACGTATGAAAACACAAAGTGACGGTAAGTGCAGCAGTGCGTCAAGAGCATCATACACCACTCAAAAAATTAAAGTTAAATACAGAGGCTATCAAGCAACCATCTTGGTTCTTTACTGTCGAAACCAGATAAATTTTCGTGGACTCATGGACCCCCATATTTTTTCACGCCAACGTAGACCTCCGTCAAGTCTCCCGTGAACCCTAGGTGGTCCACCTACACCACTTTGGGAATCACTGGCCTACATCAATAGTTGGGAGAAAGAAGATTTGCCCATCTTCTACCCATGTAATAAGCATATATATATCGTCGTTTAAAGTACAAAAGCGTGTATCAACAATATACAAAACCGCGTATCAATATAATGCAAAACCGCGTATGTGAGGTTGCATATATTGTTTTCTAGAGAGTAAAAACACCCATTTTTCAAAATTGTTATCTTTTTTATAATGCAAACGCATCTCTGGCTAATATATTTCAGGACGAATGGACAAGGATTGAGCCAAGAGCTTGTGTGAGCAAATACAATTTTTGGCAGAAAATGACAGTTACGCGGTTTTGCAGAACGACGATTCGCGGTTTTGTACTTTAAACGACGATATGTATAATAAGTTCAGTTTCGAGTAATATTTGAGACTCTTCCGAACGTCACTGATGTAAGTCGCATACAAGGGATGTTACTTTTTTAGATTTTTATAATCCGGGGATTTTCGGGATGTCGTTGGTTCAATCCCGGGATCAGTCCCGGGATTTAGATCTTTATTATTTTTCAACAACTTAAATCGAAAAAATGCCATCAATATGGTTTGGCAAGCTCTCCTATCATATAATAAATAATAAGTAAATGGGCTTGGAACGTACTTGTTTATTTAAAGTGAAAATTATTTCATAAGTAACAAAACGAAAGACAGTAATTAAATATATATGCATTTAATAATACTTCAGCATGTACATATATGATAAAGTAACTTAAGGTATGTCGAAAAAAGCTTGATGCAAAAAAAATTAAGTCAAATAATTTATTTTCTGTTTGAAAGAAGTTGTTTTGTACAAGTATACCTCATACTACATAAAATTAAATGCATTTAAATGGCGAATTTCTCTGACGTCATGATTTTTTTTAAATACTTTGTAATTTCAAAGATATGATTAATTCCAAAACTTATTTAAAAAATGTAGTGCAATGTAAAACAAAAATATGGGTGCTAAATGAAAGAAACATTTCTGTAGAACTTTTTGGGTTCACAAGGACGAATAGGAGTGCCCCTTTAATCTATTAACATATAATTCTTTTAAATAAGAATTGCAAAATTTCAAGGACGTTCATGGATAAAATTATAAAAGGGCCTTTTAAATACCAACTATTCCCTTACGCACCAAAAAATTTAATCTGTTTTAACTTTACAGAATCTTTTCTTTAATTGGATACCCATACTGGTTTTTTAAGTACATTGCACTGAATTTATTAAATCATTTTTTGAATTACTCATATCTTTAAGTTCCAAGGTTCTTTTAAAAAACTCTGACGTCAGAGACTGTATTTGGCCCTTGGTTTCGCG